GATTCAGCCCAGCACAGCGGAATTGGTGGCAGCAATGAAATGCACAAGGCGGTCAAGCATGAAACAAACACGAATTACAAGCAGTCGACAGATAACAAGTACATCGAAGGCACGTTCGCCACAGACAAGTGTCTGTCATTGGATCATAGTCCACGTTCGCTGGCCCCTTCTCAGAGCCAGGAGATGATGGAGGTGAAGAGTGCGGACAGTCTGTGCACGATGTCCGAGTCTTGCAGCTCATTGGTATGCTGTGTTGTTTTCTGCAGTCAACTGCATCAACTCGTAAAAGGCTAGACAAGTATAACTTAGGGACTGCTTTCCAGATATGACAGGACTAATTTCAATGGATATTTGTTTTATTAATTTCACCTGGTCTTTTTTCAAATTATTTATAGTTCATCAGTGACCTCTATTGCGGTTCTTTCGCAAAGGAGTGTCATGTTTATAAAGAAAATGTTTGCAGTTTTATGCTAGGACCACCGTGTTATAGTTTGCTTTGCTTCTTTCTCACACCGCGTAACTGTTTTATTAGCCAGCCCAGATCTTTCGATTTTCAGTTTGTAAATTGGCTTCGACAAGGAAAGGGAAGAAACTGTATTCTTTGGCGATACCATTTGAGGTTTAATGGTGAATAAAGTGTTTTATTTTTTAACGACATTATCCGCTGGCTAGGCACATAAGTAACCACTGTGTCTCTCTGTCGAAAGCGCGTAGAGCATTAAATTCTAATAATTCAGCTCCATCATTATTGAGTTAGTTAGCTTGTGCTTTCGTACGAACAGCTTTAAAAATGTCGTATAAAATCAAGACTAGTTTAGATTGGTCAGTAACCCCATGGCATTTTTAAATAGATATACCATTTCATGCCCTTATTTTAAAGCCCACTACTAAGAATCTATAAATGCTCGAGCGTTGCTTTTAGACAGAGAAAAACGATTCTCCCACGTTGGCATCGTCGAAGGAACCTAGGCAAACACCGATGCCAGACCAAGAGAACGGAATTGTAATTGATGCAAACAAAATCACAGTTGCAGCCCCCGATGAGACTCAGATGCAGGTGGACAAGGCTGTGGAAGCGGCAACAGTAGCGTCTTATTCTTCTACTTCTACGGGTAAAGATGGATCCTCCGTCGAATGGCGATGCTTCAGTCATGACGAGCTGAAGCTCCTCGTTGACATGTTCTACCTGCCGAACAGACACGGGGAAAGCGCTGTGGAGACGATCGACGAGTTGTCGTGGCTGTACACGAACGCGCACATCGTCCGCAAGAGCAGGGACACTCTCAATCCAGATATGGTAAGATCATGTCAGTACAGCTAATACTTCAACAGTACCAGAAGTTTGTATTTAACCATTAAACCCATCGTCGCATTTTTAATGGCCAGTTTAATTAAATGTAGCTAACTGACGTTCACTAATAGAGAGATATGAGAGGGATACGAATCACAGCATCCTGCTGTTGCTTGTCTGAAATAACAGAAGGGCTATTTCAAATCCGTCGCGGTATATAATTTCCTATTAATGCTGCTCTGAACGAAAACTTTTCATCATGATGCTTCGCTACAAACTGGAAAACAGGTGACAAGTCAGTAAAACCTTGAAATAGCAGAACATGGTTGATTATCAATTTGTGGAGAAAAAAGTCGTCGTTACAAAAAGACACCCTTAAAAAAATATAAAATATCAACGTACAAAAAAGGTGGCATTGATTCCAATGAATGTTTTCAAAGTTGGACAGCGGGTTTTATTTCTCTGATAAAGTAAGCAAAATAATTGTTAAGATAATAATATTTTCAGCGTTATCTGTTATAATTAATACATGGTAAAAATTCATTGTGATCAGCACTTGTTACTCACCAGTCTTGACTGTTTCAATTTCTAGGAATTCTGTGCTTAATAAATTCGAAACTGTTTTCCAGGAAACATTATTTCCTTTGAGGACAGCTGAATAACACTTTTAATTATAGACTCGCTCCCGATCCCAAGCCCGGTTGAGAAAGGAGGAGGGTTGGAGACCGTGGCTAGTCTCTGTAATTCAGCCACCTTCCACTCATGGTATTGACGCCATCGAAAACTATACCGGCTCGGTCGTCGCCCGGGTTACCACGGGCCGCGCAGGCTGTTGGGGAACTGAGGCAGACTGCGAAAAATCGCCGATCAGAACCTGCTCATTGCCCTCTGCCAGCCGGGGACGTGGCAGCACAACGACGGCTGACGATGACCGACGCAACGACGACGAAAATACCACTCAGCAACGGAGTCGCTACCCCTTCTGAACGGAGGAGGCAGACAGCGCGATGCCATTACAGCACGTCAGAAAAGGCTCCACGGAAACGATACCACCAGTGGGAACTTAGAGTCGGAAATTGAAACATATCCTCACTCAGAGGAAAAGAACATGAATTAGTGGATGAGGCCACGAAGTACCAACTCGACATTGTTGGACTCTCGTCAACAAAACGCCCAGGCTCTGGACACCTGAACCTCAATAGATGGAAGCTGTTCTACTCAGGCGTCGACATCACGACTCGCGCTCAGGCCGGTGTT